GGAGGTTGTTTGGGGGAAGAGATGGAGACGCTTGGGCCATCCATATCATTGTTTCAGCTTTCATTTGCCTCCTCAGTAAAAACGAGGCATGATATATTAAGATACTGATTGTGACTCAATCTCCACTTGCCCACTACAGGCAGATTTTTTTCCCCCCCCAAAGGGTAGATTGTCTCTATGGGCAGCAATTTTACCTCCGGCACTAGAGATTGTTGACGATGTCTTGGTAATTTAACATACGCAATAGAAAGGGATTTTTTTTTTTTCCCGCGGAGTACGCAAAGCTTTGGCCAGTTCGATACTCTACGGTAATTCACACAGCTGTACTGAAACTTAATCTGTTTCTTTTTAAAACAAAGCGCGCTGGGTGAAGGCGGGTGGAGCCTAGGGGCGGGGGCGTACAGCCCAACCCCCAGAGCCCAGCACCAAACTCGGTTGAGTTCTTGCTGCATTTAATTTCTAAGGAAAGGCAAAAATGGCTTCTGTTGGTCTGAGTAGGAGGGGCGGAAAAATTAGGCAGAGGCCGAGTTTCTGTATGAAGACTGATAAGCTCGCTTCTCTTTTCCCTCGGGCTACCGTGGCCCTGTAAGGAAGACCTTTTGAAAACAATCTAGGTTCCTTCCGAGGGCTGAAAAGTAAATGCCTGGGACTAGAAAGGTAATTGTTCTGGTTTCTTAAAAACATCAAAAAAGTAGGAACGGAGAAGGAAACGTTAGAAATTGTTTGCAGGGATAAAAGTTTGCAAGTTTCTTATGAGGCTGAGTGGATCACGAAAGTCTTCATCTACCCAAGCGCGCGGGAAAGTGGTCTGTTTCCATGCCCCGGAAACTTGAACCGCTCAAGGAAATCTAGACAATTTATCCCACTGCAGCCTGCAGGGGTTCAGCTCGCAGGGCGGACTGACACTTCTCAGGTCAGGTCAAGGTCAGGCTATTCCAGACGTGGGCTCTGAAAACCCGCGGAAAGGTAGAGGCGGGGAGGTGAGCCGGCAGTTGCATCCTCGCGGGTGGGGAGCGCGAGACCTTTTCAGCTCCAGCCAGCTGGGTGAATGGGGCGCGCACGGCCCCGTAACACCGAGCCTGGATAAAATATGCCAGGACTGCGCTTCTCAGGCTCATCAAGGCTGCGGGAGCCTCCCTGAGCCATCATCCTTTGTAATTGCAACCGTCAATCAACACTTTAAGACAAAGTCAGAACCAGGAAGGATGAGCCCAGGAGACCACTCTCGTAGGAAAGGAGGAGGAGTGGGGGAGGTGGAGGGAAAAAAGAGAAGTTTGTCAGAAGTTGGCAAAGGGAGTGGAGAGAAGAAATTGAGGACGCGCACAGTAGCTAAATCTGGAGGCATCTCAGGCCTGCAGGTTTCAGGTCTCTGGTCTCCGGCACTGGTTAAATGACCCACAGGAGGGAGGCCATGGTGAATCCCTAAGTGTGCTTCCACTAAGCGGCAGAGTGGCATTTGTTAAATATGTCCCTAGAGGAGGATGGGACCTGTCTGCCCGCCAGCGTTTGGTGTATGTCTGGGTCCGTATAGACCACCGCTGTCATCAGCATTTAGACCACACGGGTCCTGTACCATCCACTTCCATCTTAACTGCCTCCCCTCCCCGCGGCCGCTAGCCTCTCCCATTCCCACTGCGTCCTCGAGAACCTAGAACCATCCCAAGAACCCGGTTGTAGACGCCGCGAATAGGCTCCTTCCCGTACAGCTCTCCTTCTTAGAGTGATCTAGGGGGCGTCGGACCCACACAAGGTCACAGAGCAAGAGGGTCCCCGGTTTCCTTGGGGTCCCCTGCCCAACGGAATTGAAGGGTCACGGGACCAGAATGAGTGTTCGGAAGGAGCAAGGGTGCACTTGGAGGTGCGTAAAGAGCTTGGCATGGCAGCCTGGTTCCGCCGCCCCTCCCCTTGCGTCTGCACCTAGGTCGGCGACCCTGCGGCCCACCCAAACTCCTTGAGGAGCGATCTGGGGAAAGGTGAGTGCGCCCTTGGATCTCTGACAAGAACCAACTCCAGTAGATTCCCGCCTCGAGTTTTGACGTCCCTCCGGGGATCTGGAATAGCGCTGGCCCTAGAGAGCTTTTCCCACCTGGAGGTGGAGGCCTGCAATGCCCAGGGTTGCTGGGCTTTCGTGCTAGGAGTTCCCTTGGTTCTTAGTTTTCTCTCGGCTTGAGACGTCCAGCTCTTTCGGTGCTCCTTTGGTAGGCAGCTAAGCAGAAGGGTCTGCCTGGACTAGATCTTAAACACAGGGAGAAAACTCCTGAATCTTTCCTGTGTGATGCGGCTAAATTTTTAAAGGTCGAATTTCTTTTAATCCTCATCTGCAACCCCTATTGTCTCTCACCTCCCTCCCATTTTGCGAGGATTTTTCTTTCTTGTTAAGTCTTGCTATGGGAAGATAAATGGATGTCTGTTGGCTTTTTGCCACCATCGCTCTCAATCTTTGGGGGATATGGTGGGACAAACTTGGCCTCACTGGGTCAGCCCCAACCTCAAGTAATGGCAGGGTTTCCTTGCCTTCTGCAATCTAGCAGGTCCTATCCACCCTCTTTCGACATCTTTCCATTCTCTTTGTCCTTCTCCTGCTCTGTGAAGCAGAGGACTTTCCATCTCACACCCAATGCTGGAAGCTCCCATTTACCACCAAGAGTCTGCAGTCCTGCATTCTTGCCAGGGTTATGTTTGGGAAAGTGTTGTGTAAGTGCCCACATAGGCTCTTTGAATTGCAGTGGGAGGAGGTTGATCTTAAGACTTTGAAATGCACTGATTTTCCAAGTTCACCTGAACTCCACACAGAGGAGGGCAAGCAATGGTTTGAGTCCTGAGACTCACTCCCTTTCTGAACTATGTAAGAATGTGTATTCTTAATTCACAGTGATGTCTTAAACAACTGGTAATACTGAAAATGTATTGACACTGTTACTTGATACTATCATAAAAATCTATGCTTCTTAGGGGTCACTAATTTTGGCAACTTTAGCCCACTTTCCCATACAAACTAATGGGCAAGACTTCCTAAGTTTGTTTCCATGAAACCTAAAGATAGTAGTAAAACTGAAATTTAAATAACTTAGACTCTGAATATATATCGAAAAGCAAAGTGGCAAACCAGTTCAGAAAGTTATTAGTATCTGAATTGCCAGGAATGGGGGATGAATAACTCACTTCATATAAGGTATAAATTGTGCACTAATAATTGGAATAATTTTAAATTCATCCAATATTAAACGGGGCAGTTTGTGTGATCCTTGTGCCATTTAAATAGAATAAATTCAGATCTTTTGAGATTCAAATTCACCCCCTTGTGGGTGGACTCTGATAATTACCCAGTTGCACAGCAGACTCTGAATATGAGGCTTTTCGAATTCAGTCAGGAGGCTGGAAGGAATGTTTTTCATCTTGTTGGGATGAGATCTGAAAACTTTGAAGATGTGGCTGGGCTGGTGGCCGAAGAGCTTGCATAACAGATGGTTCTTTAAAACTTTTTTTAAAAAAATGTTGAGCCTTTGGGCCTCAAGTGGATCAGTCCCAGCAAAGAGACGCTAGAATGAAAAGGGAGAGCCAGGAGTGATCTTTGCATTCTATATGGAAGCACTAAAGCTAGGAAGTCTGTCACCAAGATAATCTTGGGCTGGGTGGAGGACCTTTTGTAAGTGGGGAAGAGACTGGAGAGCAGAGTGGGGAAACAGGGGTGGCTGCCCCTTCCTCTTATTCCCGGCAATTGAGTGAAACCCCAGGGTCATGGGTAAATCCTCAGTAAGCCCCAGCCCTCGCGCTCTTCAGGGCTAGGGGGATCCATGGTGTGGCCTCTCCACTGACCGAGTGCTGTGGGGGAAATGAAGCTGGGAGACCGACTCTGCATTTGAGAAGGTCTGGTGAGTTCAACCTGCCTTTTCTTCTTTAGGTATTTTAAACGGTTGTTAAACTTCTTTGCTCTTCACCGGCCCTACAAGCCAAGGCATGCACCTACACCCACCCACACCGGCCCCCCGCCACCACACACACACACACACACACACGCACACACACACACTCCATCCCCTCTCCTCGCTTTCCCTCAGCTCTTGGAAATCGCCTCCCGGGTTTCTGATCCATCGCTCCGGCGCTCAGACAGAGGTCGCTTCTCACTAGCTCTGAGACCCAGCAGCATTTACATCCCCCCGCCCCGGGCCAGGGTGGAGTGGGAGTGGGTTAAGGCGGGGTGAAGAGGTTGGGGCAGGCGAAGGGACTGGAGCATCCTCATTGGCTGGCGGTTAGTGTCCGACCTGAGTCCGGAACCCGCGTCCCCATTCACTGTCTTCACCCCTCACCCCAATCCAATCTCCCACCCCCCACCCCCGCCACCCGGGCCCTACTTACCTCCCGTCTCCTCGCCTGTCCCCTTTCCTTCCCAGCACCGTCACCCTCGGGGCTGGAAGGGGCTGCTCTCCGATACGCGAGAGAAGTCCACGAGGCAGGAGAGGGAGGTTGGAACTTAACTCCGCACTTGTGATAGGGAGCGAGGGGGAGGCAGAAAGAGATAGGGGGAAGGGGCGGAGAGGCGAGGAGAGCCGAGAGGAGGCAGGAGAGAAGTGAGGCGAGAGAAAGAGAGAGAGAGACCCCTGCCGATCCTGAGCCAGAGGGCGGGCGGAGGGAGGGGAAGGAGTCGCCCGAGCCGTCCGGGAGCAGAGGCAGCGGCTCCGTGGCGGCGGCAGTGGCAGCCCGGCGGCCGCCTAGCTGCCCTCTGGGAGCTCGGCGCTTCGCGGATCCTTGCCCCGGGCAGCTGCTCCCTGGCCGCGCGGAGCCAGGGCACCCGGACGCAGTCTTCTCTTCGTCGCGTAAACCTGACCTCCTCGCAGCTCCGGGGCGGCTCCGGGGCTGCGAGATAGGACAGGGCTCCGAGGTCCTGCCGGGCAGCTCGGGAGGAGGCGGAGGCACGCTCCGGCGAGCGGGTGGGTGAGCGGGCATCCTGGTAGCCCCTTCCCTCTTTCCGCCGGAGTTGAATCTGTGCTGCCCGTGTCCAGGTGCTGGGCTTCCGGACCGATACCGACTCCCCATTCCCGCCCTCGGCCGCCTTGTCATGCTGCCCAAAGTGGAGACGGAAGCCCTGGGACTGGCTCGATCGCATGGGGAACAGGGGCAGATGCCGGAAAACATGCAAGGTAAGGAGGCGCCGCGTAGCTCGAGGGCTCCGGTGGCTTCTCCACCCTCAGGCTAGCTTTGTGGGCTTCAGCCTCCCGCCCGGCGCCGGCCCTGGAGCAGCGGGGCTAGGGACTCCAAGCCTGTAGCCACAGGCTGCGGGGCGGCGCGCGGGCATCAGGATCCCTCCTCAGGTGCAGACATAAAAGTTTATGGCTCTTGAACAATGCGGGCAGAGCTTTGCCAATCGATGTCTAATTGGTCGCTTCTGATTAAGAGGATTCGAGCTCTACGGTAACTCGAGCGGCGGGCAGCTCGAGGCTGAAGGTACTTTAGAATACTAAGATCGTTTTGAGAAATGGAATGTGTTATTGGACATTCGAGCAGATTCTCGGTATTGCGGTGTACTTTGATAATCCGTCTGGAGGGAGAAGACTGCAGAAAGAGAAGGCGATCGCGGAAAAGCTGTGCAAGCGGTGTCTGTGAGCACCCCCTGCCAAGCCCAGGCTGACCCCAGGGGCGGCTTGGGTTTGGACAACTTCAAAACTGTTGGCAGAACTTGAGAAAATCAAAGTTACACCATCCTTCCCTGGTAGGGTAGTACCGAGTTGAGGGGAGTAGGGAGATATGGTTTGTTTATTGCCCTCTCATCCATTCAAGAGCTGAGATTATAGAAATCCCATTTGTTTTTTGAGCTCTTGATTGCTAACAACAATAACAGAAAAAAAAAAAATCTCAATGGCTACATTTTCTCCACATTCCAAAATAGCAGCTTCAGATCTGGCTTGCATTAAGTAAGCCCTTCAGAAGTTTATAGCATTTGCGCTGGGCCGGGCAGGGAACAATGCTAGGAAAAGTCACCGGTGTTCTTCCATCCTCGCCCCTTCCAGAGCGCAGGATACGTGGGCCGGCGGCCTGTGATCCCGGAACGCTTCCTGCCATCCCCTTGAGCGAACTTGAAAGGGCCGGGGAGGTGTTGAGAAGAGTTCAGGGCTGGTTGCTCTGCCGTGCGGGGTAGGCAGTTTGCCCCGGACGCTCTGGCAGGGAAACCTGACGTCGCCCCATTGCAAAGGGAAAAGGAGGTGGCAGGAGGGCGTGCAACGTGCTGGTAGGGTCATTTATTCCCTCGGTGAACCCGGGGTCTCTCCAAGCCTTCAGTGAGGGCTGTGGAAGTCTCCGGGGACTGAAGCCCCGGAGACTAACTGGGTTTGGCTGCAGCCGGAACCCCGTTGGCCCAAAGAGGCGTTTCTTCCCGACACCTGAGATTCCACCAAAGTGTGGCTTAGGGGAAGCAGCACTGGAAGCTGTACCGGTTTCCTTCGGCGGACCGCCTGGCAGAGGGTCTGCACTTTCGGCCACCGGCTGAGACCAGCGGGGATTCTTGGGTCCGAAAGGAAAGTTGCTGCTTCCCGTTCCGGCGCGGAGGGACTCCGGGAAGGCAGCTCCGGGAGACGCTGGAGCTAGGAGTGGGGAGGGACGACAGCTTATTTGGAAGGGAGAGGAGAGAGATGCCAAGGTTACATTTTCTTTGTAAAAGTTCGAAAGGGATCTTCATGACACTACTTACTGTTTTCAATCAGAATAAGCTTGTCCTGTGCCCAGGGCTCAGGAGATTCGGCCCGCCGCTTGCTCAGCCCTGGGTTCAAAAGCAGCGTGGGAAGTTTCTGGGCACGACTTTCCCTGGGACTCGCGGCCTGTGTGTCGGGCGGTGCCTGAGGGTCTCTGATCTCATTCCCGTGCTTCTTAGGGTCCCAGTCGGGGTCACATCCTAGTCCGACCTGTGCTGGAGTCCAGAGAGGGGATCCGCTACCGGGTTCTCTGCGCAGCTCTTCCAACTTCGCGGGAACTTCGCGCGCCTCTGTGAGGCCACAGCTTCCCAAGACCCTGCGGGTCCCCTCTCCTTTCTTCAGACTGAGACTCGGGAAAGTGCGGGGATTTCTTGGCCCGGGTGCATTCGGTCTTCCCAACGCCTACTTGGGCTGTGTACCAGGGTACCTGAAAGATGCCTCGGCCTCTCACTATGACTTCTGTCTCCCCACTCGAATCTCTCTGGATTTTCCCAGAGGATCCCAACCCCAGACCTCAAGTCTTTGGGGTGATGGATTCCCTCGGTGAACCCAGAGTCTCTCAGAAAGTGGTTGCTTCTCTGAGCCCCTTGCATGTGAAGTAAGAGAGTACTTGTTGGGGAAGAAGGGAGTTAGAAAAGAATACACTTGGTAAAGTACTCGTTTTCCCTTCCCTACAACAACATGCTTTGAGACTGTAGTCGCCAGTTTTCTGGGGCACCATAAAAGTTTAGGTTTAAAGGAACTTAAACCCTCAGGTCACCAAACTTTCTAGGGGCTGGGATTCAGACCAGCATTGCTCGGAGAACTGCGCTCAGCATCCCTGTTTCCCTGTCATGGATCCCAGAACACTGCCTTTGGGGGAGCCTTTTTCCTCCGAACTATCCTAAACTTTGATTTTGAGCCTGAGCCCCTGGCTCAGGATTCTGTCTTGGAAGAGACACATCTCTATAGGTCTGCGTTCGGGCCTCAGCTTGCAAAGTGACCCCCACCCCTAGCCCAAACACCAACCCGACCGCCCTTTGAGACCCTGAAAAGCTGGAGAGAAAAAAATAACAATTTTAAAAAGAATAAGTCATCGCAGGAGGCCACTATGGTGATTTGTATGGCTGGGTACTTTAGCTGTGGAGCAGACGCGATTTCTCTTTCCTGCTTTGTAAACAAATCAGAGGAAACTTCTGCCTGGCGGTGGGCACCCCCCCCCCACTCCGCCCCCGCAATGCCACTGATTAACTTAAAACAAACTTGCCTTGATGTTTGTGCGCCATTGAGTAGCAGAAGGTTGAGCAAGGGGTGAGAGAGAGGGTGCCCCTGGAAAGTGCGCGCGGTGGCAGTTCTGTGCAGACCTGTCCCTCGCCCTAGGTGCCCGCCCACCAGCACTCTGGGACTTGACCCGCGCAAATGCGGAGTCTCAGGGAGGGACAGGATCAGGTACTTCTTGGGGTCTCCAAGCCACTGTCCTTTATGCGCATAGTTTATTTTTTTTGGTGCATAGATGCCTTGGCTGGTTAGCAGTCCGCAGCAAGGCGATCAGCCGATCCCGGCATTGAGCTGTCGCGACGCCTGATTTCTGATTAACAGGGAGATCTTGAGGTGTTTGTATTTTGATGATGATCAGAAACGTGAAGTTCATTACAGGGCACCGGTACTTTGCGAGGAAACAAACCTTTGTGTGTTTCTTCTGATTTTTCTCCCATCTGGTGTCCTCTCTTTTCTTTTTCCTTCTTTTTATATTCACAGGATATTTTCAAACGTAAGGAGATGGAAATATTCAGAACTGAAGTCAATACAGAACTGAATGTTTCGATTTATCTAACAGATCTGAACATTGGGAGCCGCCGGCTGTTTGTAAAAGTGGGGCTGCTCCCGAGAAGGTTTCTAGGGTTTCAGTTTCCTCTGTGAAACAACGTTTGTAAATTGGTGTTACTATCCTTACAAGCAAGGTAGACCTTCAGGAAACTACTTTAAGAGTTGGGGAGTAATGTGTGTTGTGTGCTTGTTTCTCTCTCTTGGGTACAGGTGACATTTTGGAACTTAACTTTGCCGAGATTTAAAAGAAGTTCTAGGTGGTTACTTTATGCGATTCATGTTTCCATTCTGATCTGTTGCTTAGCAGAAGTTATGAGACTTGTTCAACAATGGTCACTTTAGAATGTTAACAAAATAAGTTGGAATTACTTTTAAACTTTAAAATATGAAGTGTATCTTCATTGATGCTCAAAGATTTTTTACTTGAAGTGTGCAAAATTATTTTTTCAGTACTACCTGGGTAAAAATTATTTTTATTTTATATTTTACCTGGTGATTGCCCACCAATCACCAAAAGTGCTTCTCCTTGCAGGATTAAAACCTATGCAATAAATTAATTGGATATGTGTGTACATTTCTCTTCTTGTGTTTCAGTGTCTCAGTTTAAAATGGTGAATTACTCCTATGATGAAGATCTCGAAGAGCTTTGTCCTGTGTGTGGAGATAAAGTGTCTGGGTACCATTACGGGCTTCTCACCTGTGAGAGTTGCAAGGTTTGCTCATAAGTTGCTATCTAAAAAAAAATATAATGTTCAAAACCAAAATAAACCATTGAATTACTTTTTAAAGCTAAATTCAGACTGCTTTTTTTTAACTCAAAAATGAGAGAGTTAAGTCTTACGGAGATGATTCTTAGAAATATGTGTCTGATTTAGTTCAAAAAGGCAAAGAAATTTATGCTGTTTAGAAAACTTTGCCAGTCTCATGGCCTTAAAATATTTTATTGGAATAAAGTGATGTAGCTGTAGAAAGGTTTCCATTTCTAACAGTCCTAAATATTGATTTTGCTTGACTTATATATATTTAAAGCATCCCTGTTCTTGAAAGGGAACATGACAAAGTATTTCCCAAATACATTTTAACTTCAGAGTATTCTGTGCTACAAGTCTGAGCATTTTTTATCCACAGCTATAAAAGTCTAAATTCCCACTGCATGATTTCATCCTGGTTTATTTCAAAAAATTATTTTAATATGTTTTTTAAACTTATACTTTAAACAGCAAGAAACCAGATTTTAGTTTCTAATAATTTCATTAATGTATCATGTGACCTATTTAAATGCAAGGAATTTGAATATGCAAAACTTACTCTTGTTACTAATCATGTCAATAATACATTAAGAATTTATGTTATACTTTCTAATACAATTCTAATAAATTCAGTATTCCTTATTTTTTCGACATTTTTTTGATTTGAAAACAGTACAATTACTTAAACCATTGCCAGGAAAATTCCTTCATTGACTAACAAGGTATGCTTGTTTCTCTTTATAGCTAGTAAGAAAAACAAGAGTTCTATTTTAATAAAAGCCGTTGTTCTATTGTAAAGCTACAAATTTTATTCTTGATTAATTTTTTGAGTGAAATATAAGGAAAACATGAGCTGCTTTCTCCAATTTAGTGCTGTGACATGCTTCTTTCCATGAGTTTCATCTTTTTCTTAAATAGCGCTCATGCTTGAATGTATTCCAGGGAAATTATGACCATTTTCCCATTTTAAATCTCTTTAAATCCTTTTGCTTTTAACTATTCACTGTTGACATTTGTAAGAGATCTGAGGTGTTTTGCTAGTCAGTTTTTCCTCTGGCATTTTGCAATGGTTTGTCACTGAAATTGTATCAGACTACTTGAAAAACAATGCAAATCTCCATGAGGACCTCTGTCTGGAGTATCAGGGTTAATAGGGAAAACAGGTTTAAAAAAAAAAAAATCACTGGTTGATATAGAGTGTATTTTTTTCTGACTGTTGGGATGAAATGATGTGGAAGCCAAATCTCCCCCAGATTTGATGTAATTCTTCAGGAATATAACTCTGAGGCCAGATAAATCACTATGGCCTGGCACTATTTTGGAGGGTTGATCTTGCTGAAATGTAAAATAAACCACAGAACCACATAAGGGCTCAAGTGGTACAATGAAAAGATTTAATGGTGATTTCCTTAAAATGAAACAATGGAAGAGACGGGTATTAGATTTATAATACGTCTCACTATTTTCTCTGTCTTATAGGGATTTTTTAAGCGAACAGTCCAAAATAATAAAAGGTACACATGTATAGAAAACCAGAACTGCCAAATTGACAAAACACAGAGAAAACGTTGTCCTTACTGTCGATTTCAAAAATGTCTAAGTGTTGGAATGAAGCTAGAAGGTAAGATTCTTCTAAAGACTACTGCCTGTTTAAAGTCTCCAAGGACATGGACTTTAAAACAGCATTGTACTTATGCTATGGTAACAGTATTTTCCCAGTCCTTTAACACTACAGCCATAAAGTAAGATCTTTTTATGTTTTGTCTGCAGAATAGTGTGTCTCATTTAAACATGGTGACATCTATAAGGAAAAGAATTTAAATATCAAAGTTGTCCCTTCCTTTTAGTTTGGGGAACAGATCAAAAGTCAGGTTAATTGATAACAAGACTAAAGGGATCCATCTGAGAACAAATAAAATTAATTTGCCAAAATATCCTTTAAGTTTTCAAATCAGGATGTCCTGGGAAAAGTTTTGATTTCAATCCTTTTTTTTTTTTTTTAATAGGTGTGCTTATCACAATTGTCCCTGTTAGTTTCATGATTCTTGAGCCTTGAATTGTGAAAAGGAATTTCTCAGGTAGAATTTCATTTTTTTTTTTTTTTTAACCACAGATTGAACCCAGGGGCACTTAACCACTGAGCCACATCCCAGCCCTTTTTATTTTTTATTTTGAGACAGGGTCTCACTAAGTTGCTGAGGCCAGCCTTGGCCTTCCAAGCTGCTGGAAGGCCTGCGCCACAGCGTCCGGCTAGAGTTTTATTTTTTATAGTGTAGAAATGCACATTTTTACATTGACTGAATCTGCAAAATAAAATAATTGAGAAGCAAAAACATGAAAAATAATGAGTGATTAAATCAGTTACAATGGTTTGACAAGAACAAGACAACCATTCCCCCAAAGCCACACTAAACCTTGTTGAAAGAGCAAAACCGTTCCATGTTCAGATTGGCAGGCAGTGAAGTTAATATGTGACTGCTGTAAATAATTTGTAGTTCATGGACTGCTATGGTGTGCTGCTATTCTCCAGCCTTTGACCCACTGGCTTTCCACAGATTAAATATACTGCAAATAAAATAATAACAATGTCACTAATGGTGCTAGATACAAGAGTGCATTTTATTTGATCAATGAGGCATGAACTATATTTATTTGGAGCTTTCTCCTTACGTGGAACTCATACTTGATAGAAGTACTAAAAAACTAATAACAGTCATTCTAAGAAATGTGCCAAATTGCTAACAGATTCCTTCAAATAGAATTAGTCACTTTGGTTGTTATAAGAACTGTTAAGTCAGTACTGCTTTAAAGAAGAAATGGAGAAAGGAAGTAATTGATGCTCATTAATTTTCTTATCACCAATCACTTTATTATTTAACCAAATAACAGAATATTATGGAAAGTGGTTATCATGGTGTGTGACTGAGAAGAAAAAAATGTTAAAAAGTCGATGCTGTGATTTCATATGATTTTTTTTTCCAACAAAAGAAAGAAGGTTGTATTTCTTTACCTTGAAAATTATGCTTTCTTAATTGTAGTAAGTCATGTGGGGTACATGCTCATACTTCCCTTAACAGTGGTCTGAAACAATTGAATATTCAATAAATTATCATCCAGATGAAAAACTCTTTTATGATCTTCTGCAGTATTCTGGATACCTAGAATTCACAATAAATTTTTAATGTGATACTAATCCTAAGATAAAAAGCTCAAAAACTTAACCTCCAGCAATTTCAGTGTGTCACAAGCTGTCAGAGGTCTCTGGTTTCTATCTAATTGCCATTGGCCACTATGGGCTTGGAGAGAGCTGCTAACTAACTTATTAGGCATGGCCCCAGACTCCACACACCATTGTGACAGAACAGCCTCTGGACCACTTTTGAAAGGAATTTGCTTTAATTATGTCCAACTCTGCTTAAATTAAAAGCAATAACTGGTGGTTACTGATGTGCACTTATCAAGTTGAGGTAAAAATAAATTTCCCAAGAAAAGCATGTACTCAATCCTTTTACAACAAAATAGCCAAAATGACTGAGAAGGAGGAAGATATCCTAAGGCAAAATATTCACAATTTAATCCAGAAATGGGGTGTTTGATTTATTTTTCTCTGAGAAAACAAAACAAAAAGGAATTTGGGTTTCCATAGAGAATCACTGGCATAATAGAAATTAATGCTTCCAGTAGAAAGATTGATGCTCTTAGAAATATGAAATAATCCCTATGTGTAGCAAAAAAACAATTATTAAAATTTCTTCAGTTCTCAAAAGGGTTACTATGTCTATGTATCCAAGATTTTTAATTTACTGAGCATTGAATCCTGGAGCGCTTTATCACTGAGCTATAACCCCAGCCCTTTTTAATCTTATTTTATTCTATTTTTTATTACTTGGAATTGAAACCCGGGGTGCTTAACCACTGAGCCACATCCCCAACCCTTTTTGTATTTTATTTAGAGACCGGGTCTCACTGAGTTTGCTGAGACTGGTTTCGAAGAATTTGTAATCCTCCTGCCTTAGCCTCCTAAATCAGCGGGATTACAATTTTGTATCACTGTGCCCAGCTTATTGTCAGTCTTTATACCATTATTCAATGCATTTATCAGGTTTTTTTTCAATGATAAATGACACTTAGAGGGCTGGGGTTGTGGCTCAGAGGTAGAACACTTGCCTAGCATGTGTGAGGCACTGGGTTCGATCCTTAGCACCACATGAAAATAAAGATATTGTATCCACCTATAATTAAAAAATAAATATTAAAAAAGAGTAAGCAATTCATAAATAAAGAGGACATGGTGTTTTTGTTTTTGTTTTTCCTTGGAATTCTTGTGAGCTATTATAATGAAAACAGCCACACAAAACATTTATGGTTCATGTTCAACATTTCTAAGTGTAGATATCCTGGAGAATGCTAATAATTTTCATCTTATATACATGCTCCCCCCCCCCTTTTTTTTTTGCTCCCCCAACAGCGGTAAGGGCCGATCGAATGCGTGGAGGAAGGAATAAGTTTGGACCAATGTACAAGAGAGATAGGGCCCTGAAGCAACAGAAAAAAGCCCTCATCCGAGCCAATGGACTTAAACTGGAAGCCATGTCTCAGGTGATCCAAGCGATGCCCTCTGACCTGACCATCTCTTCTGCCATTCAGAACATCCATTCTGCCTCCAAAGGCCTACCTCTGAACCATGCTGCCTTGCCTCCTACAGACTATGACAGAAGTCCCTTTGTAACATCCCCCATTAGCATGACAATGCCACCTCATGGCAGCCTGCAAGGTTACCAAGCATATGGCCACTTTCCTAGCCGGGCCATCAAGTCTGAGTACCCAGATCCCTACACCAGCTCACCTGAGTCAATAATGGGCTATTCCTATATGGATAGTTACCAGACAAGCTCCCCGGCAAGCATTCCACACCTGATACTGGAACTTTTGAAGTGTGAGCCTGATGAGCCTCAAGTTCAAGCCAAAATCATGACCTATTTGCAGCAAGAGCAGGCTAACCGAAGCAAGCATGAAAAGCTGAGCACATTTGGGCTGATGTGCAAAATGGCGGATCAAACCCTCTTCTCCATTGTTGAGTGGGCCAGGAGTAGTATCTTCTTCAGAGAACTTAAGGTATGCCCTCTGCTCTCACAACTCAATATCCCTTCCAAGGGAGACCTAACTCTATTCCCAGTGAATATATTCTTGGGGCTGAAAGTACTTTTTCCTTTTCTTCTTTGGGTGATTTGAAGTAGTTATATTTTATAACTGTGTTTTAGGACTATTTATTGTAGCTTAACTTTAGGACTATTTATTGCATTGAACAATGGTATAAAGACTGACAATAAGCTGGGCACAGTGGTACACAATTGTAATTATTCTGTGTAGCTCTTAATTGGGGTGAATGACTTTTAATATAAAATATAGGAAACTTAATTTTTTTCTGTATACCATAATATGTTTATTCCCTCTATCTCAGATAGTTTGTGGCTAAAAAATTTTAATGTTGGCTAAAGATGTCAATGTCAAGTGGTGCCTAGTATACTGTTTTTTTTTTTTAAGTTACCCCATTATGAACTATATTATAATGGTGTTATCTTGAAAGTAGCTTTCAAAGGAAAAAATGCCAACATTTAGTTGTGTTTAGAACCTAAAGAATGCAAATGTGATACCACTGGTTATACTACCAAGTAGGTATTTACTACCTGTTTACCTTGACATTAGGTTAGTAAAGCCTTTGTTTTCGGAGCAGATTCCAATAGGATGTTTACTGCCATTGGATGGGGAATGAGCTAATGATGATTGCTAGCCTATGTGTCCCAGGTTTTAGTTCTCAGAATGTATGTCTGCTGCTGATTTTAATGGATTGGTACATTGTAAACATAGTACTTGTTTGCATAAGGATCTATGTTTAACTACATGATTATTTTATTTCCTGAAACTAAAGACCGAATTAATGTGGTAAAGTCACTTAGAAGTTTGGAGTCTGAATCTGGTGGCTAGGGGTTTCATTTCTGATTTTAAAGAGAACCCTGGATTTGATTTTTCAGTATATTCTATTATGAAATCAACGTCTTCCTTTTGCTGTTGTGAGAGATGTGGCTGCTAAATACCTGTGGCTTCTGATTAACTGAGGCATTGGAAATTTAAAAATCTCTGAGAGTAGAGAGAAAAAGATGATTTTTTTATTTGAAGAGTTACTGTTAGAAATGGTCTGTGCAGACAGAAGGACTAGGGGATGTGGAAATTATTTGCAAATGGAAAATAATGTTTTTCATAGAAGTCTTAAAGTACCGTCGTTTGCACATGGAAACAAAAAAGTTATCTGAATGGATCTAATAAAATATCTCTAGCATGCTGTTAAAAGATGCTGGATATTTTCACATCCTTAATTGCTAGACTGAAAGACAGCTGAGATACCAGGCTACTGAGGGCAAGCAGAAAGCATCGAGTTCTCACCATCGGGCCAGATATTTCTGAGTATGTAGTGTTTTCAGCTGTTCTACATCAGCAGAGCGGTCTTCATTAAAAAAACAACAACAACAACAATAAAAACAGCTTTCCTGGTGTTCAGACATTCACCACCACGTCCTTAGAAGAGCAGGTGAGGTGATGAAAATAATTCCAAATACATCTGAAAGATTAGGTGACATAAAAACCATGAAAGCACAGCCTTTGCAATCAGATGGACTTGATCTGAATTAATAACCATGTCTTCATGGGCATCGTCCATCTCTGAGCCTTAGTGTTCTCATCTGTAAAGTTGTGAACATGGCGTCTATGGAATAGTAGAAAATAATAGATGTTACTTGGAGGAGGGTTTGCAAGGAAAAAAATGAGAATTTATAGGTAAAGTACCCTAATCCTGGGAGTTTGGCATATACTACCTACTCAGTAAAGTGGTACATTTTAAAAGTTAATTGTTGCATGAAAAGTCGAGTTCTTTGTGTAATACGGGCTTATTCAGGCAAGAAAACAAGCAGTGTAGTGTCTTAGTATGACAGTGGGAAATAATATTGCCAAGTATTACAGCATCATATAATTGTATCATAATTAACAGTCATTAATCAATATAAATTACGGAGGGCCGGGACTGTGTAGCCCAGTGGCAGAGTGCTTGCCTAGTATGAGGTACTGGATTCGATCCTTATCATTACATAAAAATAAAATAAAGGCATTCTGTCCATCTACAACCACAAAATAAATAAATAAAAATTAAAAAAAAATATATATATATATAAATTAAGGACTAAAATTTGATAAGCACTAAGTTGGGTATAAGATTAAGTCAACAAGGAAAAGGAAAATGTTTAAAGGAGTATAAGATTAATACAAAGTTTGATAGAATAAAATATTTCCTCTTAGAGTTGCAATATTTCCATAGTTATTTTGTTTTTAAAACAAAGACAGTAAAGATAACATTTCACAAATCAATGAGAAAATAAATAAAAATTATTTGCATGTGAAAAAAGAGATTTACATAGTGAACATAGCTAGCCACAGATAGGACTTCAAGAAAGCTGAGAATATATTCCTTTTCTCTAATTTTCCTCCTTCTGCAGCTGAATTCTATGAAATTCTTTTATATGGCATGAGATTAAATATTGGCTAAAACATAAATGCCTATGGGAGCAGAGGCTCTTAAAGAACTGTCAGTCATTTTTCCTTTATTTTTAAAATGGTGCTGGGGATTGAACCCAGGGCTTGATGTGTCCTAGGCAAGCACTCTACCACTGAGCTACACCCTGCAGCTGATTATCAGTTGTTTTTTGTTTGTTTGTTTTGTTTTTCCGGTACTGGGGATTGAACCTCAGGGTGCTTTATCACTGAGTTACATCCCCAAACCTTTTTATTTTTTATCCCCCCCACCATGTTTATATTGGCGCTTCATAGTTGTACATGCTATTGGCATTTGTCGTTACATATACGTACATACACGCAATACACGACTTTTTATTTTTATTTTGAGATAGGGTCTGACCAAGTTGCTTAGGGCCTCACTAACTTGCTGAGGCTGGCCTCAAACTTGTGATCCTCTTGCCTCAGCCTCCTAAGTGCTTGGGATTACATCATGTATGGCTTATTGCCTGTCCTTATACAGGTGTTCGATGCAGTTATCAGTGTTTCATGGGAACATGTGTTGAAAAAGAAGACTATAATTTTCAGGGATCATTTCTATAGTTTGTTACTAGCAAAGTTTCTCTGATCTGGCTGAGTATTGGAAACCATGAGGAGGAAATGAACCATCCTCTCCTAAGTGTGAAGCTGGCTCTTGGTGTTGCTTTGCTGTAACTGCCTTTTGTTATTGGAAGAGTGAAAGGGAGAGAATACTGTCTGAGCAGGGGGAAAAAAGCAAAGGAAAAAAAACCCTACAAATATCAGGAGGCATTTACGCGGGGTGGAACTGTCAACAGGATAGAGACACCATCTCGAACCCACTTTACCATTGCCTTGGCTTATATTGAACAGGAATATTTCCGTTTAACTATTTTGTCAAGAACAAAAAGTAGAATCCAGAGTAATTTAGCAGAGTTGTGAGATGAATATTCCCATAGGAAGAATTTCTTTTCATTTGTAAATTTACTTTGTCAGTCTTGTGATGCCAGCATCACAAGACATCTCCAATGTTGTCACTTCCACATTTTCTGTGTCCTGCAGTGGGAAATATACTTTACACTGCAACATGGTGTACTAAACTCTCTTACACACACTTACACCTTAGACACACCCCTAAATGACAATTTTGTTAGATAATACGTGATCTACATGTACTCCAATATTTTCTAGTTTATTCTGCTTTCGCATAATTTATTTCACTTAAAAAAAAAGGACTTTTCTGGTCATGACCTACTAAATTCATGTCACAGCCCACTAATGAGGCATGACCTGCAATTCAAGAAATATGGCTCTGCTGTGGGCCACCTGCTGGATGGAGCCTACCTGCCACCACTTTTAGCACGACTCCTTTTCCTCCTGGCATGGCCTGTAAGACATTCCGGAAGCCTGCAGTCCAAGTCCCCACTCTAGTACTTTGCAAAATTGTGGTTTTAAAATATTTTTCAGAAAGATGAGGGCTCTCCTTTATACATTTTCCTTTTTCTTGTTGACTTCACAGCAAGTGGCACATCGAGTGACATACTTCCAGGGCAGATTGCCTATACCTCTACAACCTCAGGATGGAAAGTCATGTATTTGCTCCTGGGAAATAACAGGATAATAAGGCAGTTTTGCAAATGCCCTATTGCTGACTTTCATGGGATGTACACTTCCCCCTACCTTGTAGAAAGGAGAGAGTACACCATTCATTTCTTTACTAGTTAAGGGAACAGAAGGGCCAGAAGAAATTGGTGGGTCTTTTTTGTTTTTCTGCACATCTACCTACCAGGTGCAAAAGGGTACTCTGGTTCCCACTTAAAATACTGAAATGAGAAACAGGAAATGAGAGCCCCCAAATTCTCAACTTGGGAAGCAACATGAAGCAGCAATGTAACTAAGGAATAATGAGGCTGGGGGTATAGCTCAGTGGCAGAGCACTTGCCTAGCATATGCAAGGACCTGGGTTCCATCTCTAATAAACACCACACAAATAAATAAATAAATAATGATAATAATATAAAAACAGTGTGCTCATGGAAACTGGAATTTCTGAGCAGGAAGATGGAAGTGGAGAGAGCTGGAGGACATACATTAGGGAGCACTTTGGTTTTTATTTCTCTCCTATATTTCGGTACTGAAGTTTGAACCCAGGGCACTCTACCTCTGAGCCACGTCCTCAGCCCTTTTATTTTTATTTTGAGACAAGGTTTTGCCAATTTACCCAGGTGGGCCTCAAACTTGCCATCCTCCCACCTCAGCCTCCTGAGTTGCTTGGATTACAGATGTGCGCCACCAAGCCTGGCACCACCTGTAAGATACAATTCTGGTCTCCATCCATCCAAAATAATGGCATGAGAAAGGTGAAAGAAATACTCGGAAACTTGTCATTCCCAAAATAGCAACATGTGCATTGGAAGAGTCTCAGTGTCTGATCTGTAGATCATGGTTTTTTTTGTTTTTTTTTTTGTTTTGTTTTTTATTGTTGGTTGTTCAAAACATTACATAGTTCTTGATATATCATATTTCACACTTTGATT